CGTTTGGTAAAAACTTAAAACACAATCAGCTTATTTATTTTCAAAAATCGGTTTAATTCTTGATACAAGTTTTATTATTTACTTTTATAATATTTGCATGTAGAAACACATTCATTTTAGACAACAAAATCAACGTTACACTGACAAATTGTACCAACTATGGGCCTGGATAAATTTTGATTGCTGCGAGCGATTCTATTCCTGTTTGAAGAGTTATTTTTCAGTTAGTTTGTGTTTTTTCCAAGAAATTCTGCGTCAGATAAAAATTGGTGAAAGCTCTACGTATTCTCAGTTGGAACGGTTCAAAAACTGTGTTTTTTTGTATTTTAAACCACATGCATTAATTAAGATCTCGTATCTCGAAAAAAGTTAAATTTTTCGCCCATCTCGTTTATTTACAGAGTGGTCAGGGTCAAAAAACATTTTGGACTTGTAGTGATACATTTTTTTCTCTCGAACCCAGTTTTAAAATCTAGGGTTTATGTTCAAGCTAGAAAATCACACTCGACTTTAGAAAAAAAATGAAATATACCGGGTTGCATGAATAAACGAAATATTTCAAAGTAAAATTCCCTCTAGTTGAAAGTCTGCAGGAATCGCAATCAATGCAACCATGTGTATCGACTTTTTGTCTTAAATTGTCTAAGAAGTTTAAGCTTTAACATGAGCTCTAGATCGTGCAAAGTGGACCAAGAGGAGAAAAGTTGTCGCTGCAAGACGAAAATGTTAATTTTTTTAGGCTTCCCTATACATAGAAGACCATGTTTGAACCTAATATTTAAACTTGATGTTGAGATCTAGAAAACTTCTTTTTTGTCCATCTGTAGCATGCCGAAAATTAKCTGGGGTGTTTAATTTTTCCCAACACAACAAAAAAGAAATGAGGCTCAWYAACGCTTCAAACAGAATCAATTCGCTCTGTGCAGTCAAAATTCATCCAGTTCCAAAGCTAARGCAAATTTGGCTGTGAAACGTTAATTTTGTTGATCAGTTTAGCTGAAAAATGTCGATAYATTGATCCTTTCCTATACATCTATATTGGGTGGTTCGCGGTTTAATGTGTTAATTTTCAATGGAGACATGCTCAGACTGGATCGATTTTGAGCGATTCGAATCGATTTCAGCCTAGTCGCCTTCGAGATTGGATTCTGGGTTTTATGGGGTGCCATTTCTGTTTCCTGTTATTAGTCAATGGACGATAGTCGGATGGGATCTGAGGTTGATTTGATTGCCTGGTTATTTTATTGAAATTGCCTGGTTAAGGTAATTGGACGGTTTTAGGTGGTTGTTTTGCCAAATTCAAAAGTGTCTCGCACAAAATAGTCTTTCTAGTCAACAATTTCCTTTAAATTATAATTGATTATCTGGTGCTTTGCTCAACGTTGAAATTGCGGTGGTTATTTGCTCGTGTCTTCGGCAAACCGCCAGCTGCATAGAACTGTCTCTCGCCATCCTGCAGAATATCTCAATCCAATCCTATCGCTTGTTCTTGCATGGAAATGGCGAACAACCCATCACCCATCACCTGCCAGTATGCGCGTACAAACTTTGTCAGCATCAATTTAATGTACTCTTTACAGTGTTTTCTCTATGCTAAGGTCTTTGGCTAATGGCACGTCCAATCGCGTTGATTATAGGAATTTTTCTTCAGTCGAGTTTGGTTCTTCTGCGATTTTTAGTGAAGTGGGTTCTGTTTGGTATCTGAAATTCACCCATGCATTTTTTCTGGTTGCCAAATACTGTATTTCTTTAAATTGATGTTTGATGGAACGTTCTTCTAATGCGATCTGGGGAAGTTGACATCTGAAGCAAAAGGAAACCAATTAGTTCGATAAAATAGCTTTATTGACGTAAAAAAAATGTTGTCACAAACATTTTTACTAACTGCAATCAGAACTGTAACTAAATACTAAAAACTCGAACACATTTGCTGACAAAAAAATAAAATAAAAAACCGTTATGTGGTCCAACTAA